ATGTTTTCCACATGAGAATACTGAATTACTGAAAGAAAAAAGTTAATTGGGTGACTATGTTTCTCTTCCTTAACTCCCATGACCCCTTCAAACAGGTTCTAAATTCATGTTTTAAAGTATTCTGTTTTTCCTTTCTTTCAGTCAACTCAACATCTGTGACAGGCTCACAAGCACACGCAACCCATACATACCAGACTTCCTTCTGGCAGTGTCTTTGGGTTGAAAAATAATATAAGAAGTCAGTATAGTACAGTAAGAAATAAATAACTGTATTTATAACTGAGAGTTAAAGCACACATAGTTAATCTAAGCCTTATGAGATCTGGTTTAGCTATGCATAATTATAGGAAACTAACAGGTATCTAACAGTGTGAAGTAGGAAAGGTAACTCCCTAAGATATTGCTTTTTGAAAACTAATTTCTACATGAGCAAATTGTTTATGTAATTTCTCCCTTCCTGTTTTAGTCTTCTGCTCTTAGAACCTAAATTACTAATAAAATTAACTGGCAAGTGCTATGGTTTTTTGTGGGTTTTTTTGATATTCAGGAAATACTACAGTCTCCTGGGATTATAGCAGCATACAAATGCTGGACACCTATTTCACCTCAATGCTAGATTTAAGTAGGAATTTTCAGCCTGAGAGAGAATACACAGATTTGTTTCCTGGACAATGGATTGAAATATTCATTGCTATTTCAGGCATTACTGAATGATGGTCTGTTTCAGGAGTTTCCAGACGTCAGCAGTAGGGCTACTTTCCACAACAGCACTCTGACTGCAGAAGATAAAAGAATATTTGTTCCTTTTTTTTGCAGTGGAGGAAAACAATGAGAAAAGCAGGAAGGCAGCAATAATGCAGAAATCTGGAGGTGGTGATAAAGGGTAGGGAGAATGGAGAAAGTTGCATAAATAAATCCATTCTGGCCAAAATCAGGCAGGTGATAACCATAGGTATATGACACTGAAGTGGAAATCATCTTTTAAAAATTAGGTAATCAGAGAAAATTTTAAATTTCATTAGGTGTGAGAAAAAAAATATTTGAAATACAGAAAACAAACCAAAGCATTTCAAAGCTTTAGAACACAAGTTCATGCTGTTTTTTCTGAGCGCACCATACAAACCTTAAAAAGAAGAAAGGACACTGCATTTGTTCAAAAGAATTCTGTAAAGTACACCTAATTAATACTGACATGTTATTGCTTCCCTCTTGACATCTTGTGAACAGTCAGAGCTAGCCAAATAGCAAGTTGGTATAACCTCTGTCTTGGAGAAAATTTCAGTTAGTGACAAACAGTAAAAAATAGCACCTGAGAATAACGCAGAGTTTAAAATGAGCATTGCTCAACAAAATAAAGTGAATGAATATATGGATTAAGACATTAACTGTGCAGGAAATAATAATTTAGTAATAATTTAGTTCCCCAAGGAACTGCAGAGAATTTAAACAGCATTTCTCCTTGGAAAAAGCCAGTTTTGTTGTTGGACTGATTTAATTAATAACCCCCCCCCAACATTTTAGAAGGGCTGGAAATAGCAGTGAGCTTGAACAGGAACATGCTGCCCCTGCAGCCAGCTCTCTTTTGGAAGAGCTCCCATCTTAGGCAATGCAACAGGATGGCCCAAGCAGCTCCATTTCCCAAGTTTAGTTGAGCAGAGTACAGCTAAACCATTTTTCATTTACTCATGGATCAAGACTCCAACATTTGGTGTTATGTTGTCTTAGGCATTTCATTAGTAAGGTAAAAACCTCCCCTGTCAAACCCTCCCATTTTTGATCATCATTTTGTTGGCAAACAGATCTCTTTCATCACTCTTAACTGCTCCAATTTTCACACCATCATCAAGATCTCCTTTCATTTTAGTAACTCTCTTGAAACAGGAGTAAATCTGGGAAGACCTTAGAGACAACAGCAACATGACTAAGAAATTGTTTCCTTAAAAATATTGTAATTTTGCAAAAATGACGATGCCAGCCAATAGAAAGCAATTTCATTCAGATATTACACGAGACTTCTGCAGAGTCTTCATGGTCACACTGATAGAATGTGGATCTGCATGAGAGACAAATGCAGGAGTCTTTTGGCAGAAACTCCAAAGCACAGCACATGCTGTAACTCCCAGGAAGAAGTACAACACTTCTGAAGCCACAAAACTAACCTTTCTGGTCTCCACTTACACAGTTCTCCAGGAATTTAAATTAATAAGGTTGTTTCTGTGTAGAAACAGTAGATCATATTCAGGAATAGGTACTTAGAGAGACTTATGGTGAAAATATTGTATGAAATGTTATAGGAAAAATAGTAAATGTTTCTAAGTTTAGGTTTTCATCCTTCTTACCAGAGTGATGTAACTTCATTAAAAGGATGGATTATAAAAGGAGAAAACTCCTATTTCCCAATATGCTATTATTGTTCATACAAATTGAAACACACATTTTATTTAGCTTTTTTCCCCCACTCTGGAGAACTACAAAGACCCTCAAATCAAAGATCCAGATTTTCAAATCATTAGCATCAGGAAATTTTCTTGAGTGGCAGGTGTCACTCATTCTAAAATTTTAATAAAAACAAACAAAAGTCCTTTCAAACTGATTTCCAATGCAAATATTTCAAGTAATTTCACTTGGAGAAGCAGGTCTAGATACAGATGCTACATGCTAGAATTCATGCCATCCTTAAATCTTTCTCACTTTTTGTTGCATTTTACACATACAGCTACTATGATATATAGTCAGTATTTGCCCCTCAAAAGGAAATTCACCAAAACTTCACTAAAATTCACTAAATATAGGCTCTTATGTAACTTTTATGTGGAAAAAGTTGCAGTTGATATTACTTTCTAAGCATTGCTATAAAGCCATATAAAATATTTTTTAAATATCAAATTAATCAAAGAAAATAAAGGGGTTTTTTTTGCACAGAACCAATTCATAAACCAATTGTCAGCTTAGAATTGTGAATACAAGTATTAGAAGTTAATGTTTGAGCTGTTGTCATAGAGCTGGTACCTCCACATTGCTGTTGTGATAGCTCCCCTACCACTGAGACCATATTTCTTACTAATAAATAGGTAAATATACATAAACAAAGTGTTGGGATGTACAGATATTCATCTATACACACAGGCAAGAGTAAACACTGCAAGCTTCCTCATTAAAATACTTTTTGCAATAGTCAAAAGGTCAAGAAGGATACAGAAGTTTGTACTTTCTCCTACATGAAATTACATGGAAAAGTATTTTGATAGCATACGTCTTGAATATTTGTATTTAAACAGCATAAATCTCTCAGAATCTACTCAAAACATCATCCTAGAGCAGAAAAGGTGCAGAACAGTAGCAAAAGCTCTTAGAAACAAAATTTTAAATTATAAGAATTCTTAAAAAGGACTGTCCAATCCAATGAAATGAGCAGCTACCTTCAAGCTAGGACTCAAACAGAAAATCTCATAAAAAGGAAACCTGGATTGGAAGGCCAGTAATTTTCATCTCACAACACGTCTCTTAGACAGCTAATTTCTCAGTCATTGTGAAGAGCACTGTGTGTTTACAGACTATTTATTCAAAAGTGCATTCAGAGGAGGGGCAAAAAGACATCCAGCAAAACATGAGCATTCATTTTCACTGAGTTGCACTGCTTTAGATTGACTGCCTGCTTCTTCAGGAAAGGCACTTTTCACATTTGTCAGCAGGCTCAAATATCCTGAAATGCTGAAAAAGGTGAAACAAAAAACTTTCTCAATGCTGCCTTCCTATCTGATCTTTTGTCTCATATGTTTCCCTCAGGGATGCACAAGAAATTTCTCTGAATAATTCATAAGTACCTAGGCAGAAACCAGCTTCTATTTCTGAACAAAAAGATTGGGTAAGAAGCTGATTTCCGTTCTTCTGTTCTGCTCTATGTGGAAGAAAACTGGATTAAAAGTAATTTTCCTAACATAGTAAACACACAATATGTACATGTATGTATCCATGAAGTATATAAACAAACATGTTTATACTGGGGAAGGTACCTTTGTACTCAGAGCTATACATTAATTTTGGGGCAAGACTGATTCTCTACCTTTCAAAAACCCAGGTGCTAACCTATCCAGATAGCACAAAGGTAGTCAATAAACATGCAGAATGCAGAAAACAGCTGAACTCTGCACTGGTGTGGCCTCGAGTGCTGTGTGCAGCTTTGGGCACCACAGTGTAAGAAGGAAATAAAGGAACTGAAGGAATCCAAAGGAGGGAAATGAGGATGGGGAAGGGCCTTGAAGGGGGCCATGGGAGGAGGGGCTGAGTGCACTTGGTCTGTTCAGCCTGGAGGAGACTGAGGGGAAACCCCACTGCAGTTACAGCTTCCTCTGAGGGGCAGAGGAGGGACAGACACTGATCTCTTCTCTTGTGACCAGTGACAGAGTGAAGGAATGGTCTGAAGTTGTGTCAGGAGAGGTTTAGGTTGGATATCAGGAAAACTGAGAGAGGAGTTGGGCACTGAACAGGCTCCCCAGGGCAGCGATCACAGCAGCAGCCTGACAGAGTTCAAGAAGTGTTTGGCCAATGCTCTGGGACACATGGTGTGACTCTTGGGGTGTCCTGTGCAGGAGTTGAACTTGATGATCCTTGTAGGTCTCTTCCAACTTCGAATGTTCTATGATTTTATGAATTTAACTTTGACTTCAGAAAACCAAAATGACTGGTCCTTCCTGTACAGTATCCAACTCTTATCATAAGCCACCTTCACTTCCCAATGGCATGAATATTAGGCAGATGCAAATTGCTTCTTCTTCTATCGTTTCTACTAGGATTGAAATAGCCTTGTGGCCTGCAAATCCTTTTATGTCCCAACACACAAGACAGAATAAATGCCAGGAAAGACTCTTTCCAAAGCATTTTGAATGAAGAATATAGATCCCAAACTCACAAGTTATGGTTACCTACATCAAGTCAGGACTTCACAGTACAGTGTCACCAGCTGAGATGACATTGCTCATGACCATGGGCTCAAGACTTACCAGCCTCTGCATGCTTTTCACATGGGTAGGACTAATGGATAAGGCCTCTTCATACCAGCGTTTGGCTTCATCAATGTTTCCACGCAGTTCAGCCACCTGACCCCTCATGTAGAGAACATAATGTGACATTGGAAAGAGATTAGCTGCTTCCTGGGTACATGCTGTAGCCTCAGCAGGCTTCCCAATTCCTATGTAGACTTCAGCTGTGGAAGGAATGTCAGGACCAATTAATGATTCTTGCTTCATCATACCATGACTAGATGTTGTCATATGTGCTTTATTTGTAAATAGCTTCACTTTAGATAAAGACTATTTTCCTAAAAAAATTTTGCAACTTAAAAGAGAAATTACTACCTAAATTATTTTAAATGCATTACTCTTTCAGGAAAGTTGTTTTTCTAAGTGTATCAGCACTTACAACTTCTAAATAGCTGTTTGAAACCCCAGAATACTCTTTCTAGTTTGCTATTTTAATCTTAAGTCTTGGATTTTTTTGTTGCTGTTGTTCTTGTGGAGACGTCTCCATGGCATGGCAAGAGAGACTCCTCTCTCTAAGAGAACTGAAGAAAGACTATTTTGGAGGTGGTAAACTGACTGAAAGTCCCAGGTTTTGCCTCTTTACGTTGTTAGTGAGAAAGAAAAGAGGGTGTGGGAGGAGTAGAAGTGTTCTGAAGTTTTATTCTCATTTTCTTATTATTTTATCTTTTAATTCTGTTAAAAAAGTTTTCTTTATACCCTTTAAAGTTTTGAGCCTGTTTTGCCCTCCTCCTAATTCTTATCTCATAGCAGGAAATGAGAAAATAATTCTAGTGAGTGCATTGGCATTTGGCCAGCACTAAACCCACTACATTAATTGGTGCATTGGCTGGGAAAGAAGAAACTCAGATTGGCAAACCAAACTGCCACAACCCACAATTTTTTAAAAAAAAAAACAGAAAAAACCCCACCAAACAGAAAATAAGTAATGGAACAAGCTGCCCCAGAAGGCTGAGAAATTATCAGCATTATAGATGCTAAGAGTTACTGTAGATGGTCATCTGTGGCAGTTTATAAATATTTAAAGTCAATGCTGCCACAATGCAGAGCAGGAGACTTCACTACACCCTGTTGGACCTTGCCTTATTCTAATCTGTGTTGCTTTTGAGTAGACCAAATGAGATCACTATTATTAATCACTGTAATTGCTTTCTTTCCAATCTTCTGGGCTTTTTCTCTAAACCACTAAACCATTTATAACTGGGAGCCATTACCCTGCAATGACTTTCACACCACAAAACTGTAGATGTAAATAGGTAAATTTAAATGCTATATAAATGCTAAATAAAGCACTGTTTTGTTGAAAACACGAAAGAAAAAAAATATGTCACTGAAAAATGCTCTGAAAGCAGAACAAAGTATAACAATTGCTGGCTGATTTCTAAATTACATCCTTCTGATCCAGCTACCAATGAAAACAATTGCATGTTATACATTTTTAACTGTATAAAAATACACTGGATCATAATTTTCTGGTTAAAATTTTATGTAACAGCTACTTGTGATACTGCAGTTAGCTTGAGGCTTGAGGCATCATAACAATACTAAATGCACTCAAGATGACTCCACATTTAGACAAACAATCCTGAATCTTTAACATTAATGAAAGCAAAAGGAAAAGAAGGGAATTCGGGCACATTATCACAGCTGCAAGGGACAGGTTGCTCAATAGTACTACTACTGTTTCTTTCCCTGCACATGCAGAGTTTTTTCTTTTCTATTATAAAATTTTGTAGTTACAGGAACTCTAGTCAAAAATCTTACAAACATCTTTTTCTATTCAAAGGATTCAGTGACCTGGAATTAGCTCCAGTGGTTGGAGCATGGTGCTAATCATGCCGAAGTCACAGGTTCCATCCCCTCATGCATCATTTACTTAGGAATTGCACTTGATGATCCTTCTGAGTGCCTTCCAAATCAGAATACTCTGTGATTCTGCAAGGACACCTAGATTTCCAAGCACTAAGATACTCTAGGTACTTCAGAAACTAAATTCTTCAGGGACAAGGGAGAGAGTACTGTATTTGTTCCACAGAAGATATGACTCTACTGGTAACAGCTACATTCTAAAACTACTGCCTTATTTTTCGTAAATGATCTTACACACAGAGCAACTCTAGCATGCTTGTTATTTCTTGGCTTGTTTTGGTGCCCCACACATGGAAATAATATGATCTGATAAGTGATAACAGATTCTGAATGAAGCAAACAGATTTTGTTAAGTCCTTAGCCTAGCAATAAAGGGGAGAGCATAAAAAATAAATTTTACTATCACAATACCTGCATGTAGCCATATTTGAGCCAGAGTCATCCAAGGATGCAGGGGACCTTGTTTAGGGGCACTGCTTTGCAGGGAAGAGGCAACCTCGGACAATGCTTGCTCCACTCTGGAAGCTGCTATTGATGTGGCATGGACTGAGCCTGTAGAAGCAATAAAAAGAATTTACCAGCACAGAAATAATGAAGGCCATATACATGGCATAAAACATTTAATTGCAACCCTTTCCGTAAAAGGCTGTACCCCAAACTCAATATTTAATTTACATTTACCATCTTGAAGAATTTTTTAAAATGCCAGATTAATTTTCTTATGAAAGCTTTTACATTGGTCTAAAAATCTATATAAAAAACACACTAAACTTTGATAACTGTACCTGACATTTTTTTGGGTTGCTACTATGAATGCTCTATTAAACTTGACATCTTTTTTCTGGCAATGTGCAATCCAAAAAAGGTTTGTGATGGTATCATACACTGTAGTCTTCAGGTTGCTGCATTCACTTTGATGTTAGTATTAACTACATCTTTCCACAGAGTGCAATTAGAGGATTATTTTACAATAATAACAGAACAAAAAAGAGAACTAAAATACACACAGCAATCATGACATTCACTATCACAGATACACCATTAAACTGCACTGAATGTAAAACTTGTCTAATCAAGAAGGCTGAGTTAAAGTACCTTGTGGCAAAAAAGTCCACAAAGGTTTTTTTGCATAGAAAACATTCCCAGAGCATATTAAGGATAATTCTCATAAAATGTATCATTTCCAAGTCAGATTAGAATCTCATTGGCAAATAATAACCTTTTCAAAGTACTGGAATTAAAAAGCTTCTATGACTAGAGAATATCTAATGGCAACTGTACTTTGGATAGTCAATTACTGCCAGCATATTTAGTCATGACTTTTTTTTAAATCAAGACCATGAATGTTTTAAACTACACTCCTTCTTGTCATCTAAGCCTCAGCATATCTCTAGTTGTTTTATAATTACAAATTACAAAAGCTCATACTGATCAGGCCTGATTAAAAAATAAAGGCAGTAAAATATTCCATAATGTATCAGATAAGAAATTGTCTATTTCCATCACCATTTCCATAATGATCAACAATGGCAGATACTCCAAAAGAAATTATTGAATCTTGTACAAGTTGAACTGCATCCAAAACCTCGTCCTCATCATTACAATTAAGAAATAAATAAAACCTTCACTCTCAATATCACAGGTTTTCTAAGAATTTTGATGAGAAGAGATCTGTCACATGAAACATACATTTTTAAGTGTGACAAGATAAATCAGCAAACCAGAAAGCACCAGAAATTCCTAGTACACAGATCAATAGGAAGAGGAAGTTAGTCTGAAAGTATGCATCACAGTTCCCTTAATTGAAAGAAACAAAGGAAAAGCAGCACAGGACATAATTAGCATTTCATGTCATTATGCACAAGGAATTGCCCTGGATATCTGAAACAGTGTCTGGCAGTAGAGTTTGCTTTTCTTTTTACTGGCTGATGAAACAACTTAAAGTCCAGCCTGCACAGCTGAACATTCACTATAGTTTCTGTGTTCCCTATTTTAAAGCTTAAATTCAGAAGAAATTTAAAAGGGAAGTCTAAGCAAGAAGCACGGAGTGTGTTATAAGAAAAATACCAGCAAGTGTACCAAAAATAAGTACCAGTCACGAGTAACCCTGTTCTTGTCTGACAGCCATTTCTGTACAGCACATCACTGCAGCCTGGCACTTGTTAGCCTTCCAGGGACTAATAGTGAAAGCACCTTCTTCTCTCCAAAACAATTTGTAAAGAAAAGGTGCAATTCACTGCCATAAAGGAGATCATCTAACCTCTTCCTTTGGAAAAGCAAGTAGGCAATTTAGTGTTAAAAAGAGCCTATATTTTTTATTATTTAAAGCAAGGACTCTGGCTGCTAGCCAGGCCACAAGCAATTTCGTAGAGAAAGTGTGCTGTTGGATTTTAAGCTTCCAGTATTTAACCATAAAGCACATATCATTATACATTATTAAAACTTTTTTAATATCAATTTACTCATAAAAAAGAACTATACTATGATAAGATTCTTATGAGTTTCTGTGCCATCTGTATTAAGATTAAACAGAGTGAATACTGAGTGCTTCCTACCCTGGACCTTATTGAGTGGCATAAAAAGAGGAAAAAAAGTTTAAAAGTATTTCTAAATTTTTTCTTTGAAGTGGTATAATTCAAATTGTTTATATTTTCTCTTTAGGAAAAAGGTATCCCTTAACATATTGCAGCAATTAGTTCTCTGAAGAAAACACACACATATACAAAGCAATGACCAATCAGGTATCTTTTAGGAACATTGCACTCTTGCTAATAATATAACCCTTAAAGCCCTTAGTAGTTCTTTAGTACTGCCACAATTAACTGTCATCTGACTCATTTCTGGCTCTTTTTGTTAAAACACATTTAGTAAACTTTTCATTTTATAAACTAAACACCATTTAAAGATATTGTGTACTAAGAAGTTTTTTCCTACCTTCCTTCAAATTTTACTCAAGTATTTTCATATTAGAACCAACTTATCTGTACCTTGTCCTAAGCCAGGATGTCATAACAGGCTCAGATCTTTATATTCACATGACAATCCTAAAACCTACAGTAATTTCAGTTACAACTGGTAAAGATACAAAGTGGCTCATGAGAAGCTGAGGGTAACAAGTATGTCTTAGAGACTCCTTAAGGCTTTATAGATCCTATGTAGCCAGTTTATTTAGAGGTTCCCTGCTTGTTTTGTCACCAGCTCTGCTCTCTTGTGTCTGTCTTATCTGCATTTGGCTTTCTTTGGTTTGAGGTCAGGACCCACAGCCAAACACAAACATACCCTCACTTTCGCTTACAATTCACTGTGTTGCAGCTTCCTTCAAATGCTCAGATAGAGTTGCAGCAATTTCTCATTTAAAATTTTAATGATCTTTCATGCACAATAATACCTTTGCTCTTCCTAGGTAACTTCTATACCTGCTGTTATAGCATGACATTTGAGACTCAAGAAAAAAATTCCCTCCATATAACACAAGCAGCAAATATTTATTTTGAAATGGAGATCATGAGGCCTGGAAAATTAATATATCACCAAAATAGATCCTAGCTACTCACTTCATTTTTTAGCTTTGTTCTGAGGCTTGTTTATACTAAAAATTCCAAGTGTGAAACAGGACTGTCTTTGCAAGACCTAGAATTCAGTAGTTAAATGGATTAACATCTGGAATCACAATCACATTGAAAAGTGTGACAGAAGGTCTTAACCATGACAAAATATTCCTAAACCAAAAAGGTATAACCTCCCACTCAAGTTTCCTAAAATGGCAGTTGTCCAGAATCTAGCTTCTTCTCATCATGCTTACATCCTAACTGCAACAACCATGCTGCAGATTCAATGTTTCAACTCAATGTCAAATAGAAAACCTACCAAGAGCCTTGAACAAAAACAATTTACCCAAGACATTAAGTCATGTCACAAAAACCTTTCTTTTCCAAGTCATACCTACAGTCAAACTTTTGTGAATAAAGTATTTAATTTATTTTCTTCAGATTTGTCATAAAAGTTACATGAGAGTCCACATGAACTCACCCATTAAATACCATTTACAAATACCACACACCCTATGGAAATGAGTATGTCATGACTTCTTCAGTTCTTTCCTTGGTCATTTCCACATAAATTCTTCACAATGCAGTGTAATGGACATAAACTAATATGTGGACTCTATCAGGACCATGGCATGACAGCTTTGAGAAAAACAAAATCACTCTACTATGTACATCAATTTCCCTTCTGAAAATGAGTAATAGAATGGAACTGTCATCCTTCATGGAACATGTTCATATCAACTCACAAAACCACTGTGGCAGGATTTCTTTTTATGCCATAAAAGAGAATGAAAAAATAAAATGAATAAAAGAAAAAAACTCAATAGTATTACATTCATCCCATTATAAACATTTCAATATTTACATGAAGAAAAAATGCTTTAACTGCAATGCTCATGCAGGAGAAAAGATGAAAACCCCCATGACTCAACTTTGCATGCACACAAAGAGTTGGAAGTAAGAACATTAGTAGTGTGACACACAGAGAACTGTAAGAAAAGCAATTACATAACACAAAGAGGCAGCACCTTCTGCAGGACTAATACATCCCTGAAGTGATGCACTTGATAAGACAGACTGGCAGATTTAGCCAAAATTCACAATTTTTTAAATCTAAAATTCATTATGAGTCTGAGATACCTTTCACAATCACAAATTACAAAGCTATCTTATCTTCTCCTACAAAGTTGTGCATGGAGATGACAGTAGTCAAGTAAGGACAGCATCATTCACAAAGCATCCTCTCAGCTCTTTGAAAAAGATTTTCTGTGCTTAGTCATTGTCAAACATGTTGGCTTATGTATCTTCTTACTTTTCTCTCCTTCACCAAATTGATCCCCTGTACTACCCAAAAAAATTATGCAAAGGTAAAGTAATCAATGAAAAATACAAGTGAATGCTATGAACACAGCTTTATAAGATAACCGGTTAGAGAAAAAGAATAGTAATTCATATCCTGATTAAATAAAACAACAGCAGTTCTTTTTATTGATCTATATTCTTCATTCTTTCTTATTTAGTCTGCTTTAATAATTTCATCATTTCAAAGTGTACTCTTCATTTATTTTACAAGCAAAACTTGTACCACAAAAGAAAGTAGTAGCTTATTATGAGTCATGACAGTAGTTGCAGTATTGTGTTCTGGATCAGCAGTGCTATAATACAATGTACTGCCAGTTGGCCATTGTGTTACACAAGACAAGCCTAATATATCTTTATTTGCAGTCCTCTAGAAATGAATGCTGCCTCTTTAATTATTAAATGCAAGTGTTAGTTGAGTGCATTCAGGTCTCGTATGATTACAGCCCATAGGGTGACTGAATGGGCAAAGAGCTCCAGCCTTGCTTTACACACTGATGGACAAAACATGTATGGCTTGTGCTACAGGAAAAGGTGATTTTAGTCCCTCAGAAATTAATAGCACTGCACAGTCAATATTACTTACAAACTGAAAAAAGGGAGTAAACCCCATGAAAGTAAGCATCTGATGGATTGCCTTTGGAT